TAATGAGAGTGACATATGCTATTTTTTTTTCTTTGTTGTACTTTTTCACTTTTTTGTAAAACAGTTTTTTTCTTTGATGATATATATTACACACACACATACATGATTATTATCATTGTGTTTTGCTTTTTTCTTTTTCTTGTTATTAATTAAAAAGCAATAAAAATAAATTAAAAAAACAGTGGCACATAAACTATGCCATGCAGAATCCATTAGCTAAAATATGCAAAATCTATGAACATATTCAGTTTAGTAAAAATTTTAAAAGAAACAGTGGAATTGTTACCATAGCAAGCTATGCATTAGTAACATGTTAAGTGCTATATTCCTCTTTTTGAATATAGACACCATTCACTGCACTATTATTTGGCAGATTTATTTGGCAGGTAGTATAATAAGACATTATTCAAAACTACATGCAACTCAGAACAACTTTTTATACTGCATTCCTCCATGTCATCTAAGAATTCACATGTTGATCAGGTATGTGACTTGATGCACAGGCTGTTTACTCCAATTGGGCCTGACAAATCTAGTCTATTTGTTCCCCATCTGATTGCAAAAACAGACTGACTGAAGGCATTTAGCAAGGCACAATATATAGCAAGGAGCATCCTAAATGGCTCAGGTCTCAGACATAATATACGTTAACTTATTTGAAGTACACAGATGCAATTATTTGTCATAGATACTTAGACTGGGAAGGAAAAATGAATCTACATGCTTCCTGTCCGAGTGATATTTTCTTGATATTGTAAAAGGTTGTGTAATAAGATGCCTGTTTCCCCTTGGAATGGCTTTTGAATTATAAATTCCTTAATTTATCTAATTCCTTAAATTCCTTACTTCCAAAACTCATCATCCTTTGGTATGAAAATCTGCAAAGCTATTGCTATTACCTGGTCAAAATTGTAGAGAGCAGCATGAAGGTTAGCCAGCATTCCTGTAGGAGGTTCATTAATAAGTTTAATAGAGTTTTCTAATATTCCTTGAGGTATAATGTGTTCTTCAGGAGTTGGAGCAGGTTCAGCACTGACAAAAAGGCGATAGTCAGGGTGACTTCCTTTACTGTATTTGCCCACCAGTTCCTCTAAGGTCCCCAGCCATTTCACAACAAGATGTATGTTCTGTTTAAGAAAATTCAAAATTTTCATTATAAGCACAACATTATTACTTAGAAATGGTCCTAGCTAATTATATTATCAAGTCCTTACAAAGCTAGGTAGCATTTACATAACCAAAACAACAATCAAAACAAAAACCAAAACAAATAGTAAGCTCACAAGTGTAATTTCATTTTAAATTCTAAATTTAATGCGTAGAGGGAAATTAAACTTTTTTTTTAACTACAGAGACTGTATTTTAATAGCTTTTATATTAACAAGAACTTTATTATCTCCAAATATGCAGTAAGTAAGATTTTGTAAGGGTAACTTTGGCACCTTTACAAAATGGTAACTTTTTACCCATGCATTTAATTCTGCTGCCTCTCTACAAAGTTCTGAGAAGGCACTCAGAAGAATTTCAGAGGACCATAACTATTACAAATAACAGTATCTCCTCATCCCCACTGTCACATATCATTAATGATGAAGTCAGACAATCTCTGGAACACAGTGGATGAGAGACCAGAGGCGGAGACTGAACAGGTCTTGGATTCAAACCTCTCCTTTGAACCTGAACCATGAGATTGAATTTTAAAGCCTTTGCTTGTAAAGCAAACCTGCTTGCCAACATAGGTAATGCATCTGATGAGGGATCACAGGTGCTTTGGAGGGCTTGGATCCAGGCTGGAAAGCTGCATTTGCCAGGATGTCCCAAACTACTTGGACATCTTTCCTCTCAACTCAACTGTGGAAATCATTTTGCCAAAATTGGACTTAAAGTTGTATAAAACATTTACAAATTCTTTGACAACTAAGACTGCAAAATCACAACCATAAGTGTATTCCATTTGCAGTGATATTTGATATGATAATAACATGTCGTCATAATTGGGATTCTGCCAGGCAAGGTGGCACTACATAAATAGCTCCGCCCTCCCTTGTTCCTGTTGTAAGAACAAAACACATATCAAACTGGGGGCCAAGACTGTAATTCTATGATACTATCAACTCCATTATTGTATTTTATCTTATTTCCATTTCCTTTTTCAAACGATTTAGCATATTTGGTAATCAATATTTATCAAAAAGCATTTTTCTTTTACATTATTTCTTTTTTTTTCTTTCCCAGTATATTTATGTACTTCGGAGAAGGAAATCTCACTGCATTTCTATAGAATATGTTCTTACATTCTGTATTTTCAGATTCAGTCAGTATCTGTCTTATAGAATTAAAGGAAAAGATAATTATAAAATGTTTGGCACAACTGCTTTATATGTATATTTTAAATGATGATGCTAACACCTTTAAAAAGGCTGTACTACATCCCTCTCTGGATCCGGCTACTTTGGAGAAGTATTGCCCAGCCTCCAACCTCCCCTTTTTAGGGAAGGTTGTTGAGATGGTGCTAATACCCACATCAATGAAGCAAGTGGGGCTGATGATCTGAATGCTGCTTCTCAGTAGCAATGCTTGTCCTTTGGAATAGCCTTACTGTGGAGATCAGATTTGCTCCCTCTTGGACCTCTTTTTGAAAGGTGCCACAACTTAGCTCTTCCAGAAAGCATTTGTTAAATGGTAGGACACTATTTACATTTGATCATGGATTGTTGGTTATTCAAGTTGTAATTGTTACATTATTAAGTTCATTGGATTGATATTTATAATTTATTAACTAATTTATTTCTTTGCTGTGGAAGTTTTATTGTTTTTCTGTGTGGTAAAATTATCTGCCTACCTACCTACCTACCTACCTTTGTTGTTAACTGCTGGGAGTCAGTCCAGATTATGGTGACATAGAAGTTAAATAAACAAACAAACAAACAAACA